CCCGCAACATGATGAATTGCGAACTGCTGTTGCCAGACTTGGTGCCTTCACAGGCTGCGCAACTTCTGCCATTGAGCGAACTCTCACAGTGCAGGACTGGTTGTGGCCCAAAAGGCAGAACCACTTTCATGAACAAACAGAGCTAAGCGAGATTTTCATTGCCAGCAGCAGCCGAACCTCTGATGAAACTACAATTGCAATGGCCAGAGATATTTGGAAGATGGTGTATGGGCGGCCACGCAAGCGCAAACAGGAACGATAAGACTCGGGTCAGCCGAAGTTGAGGAAGTTGAAGACAGGAGTGCGTGTTTGGCAAAACAAAAGCCGAGAAGCGATTTCCAACTTGGCAGGCAAGAGTGGTTCTAGCAACATGGCGATCGCCTTCCCAGCCACGAGACTTCGACAGTTGACAAAGCGGGTGCGAAGCAACGTCGGAATCATCTGCTTGGGCTGAAGAATGACCGTGCCAAGGATGAAACCAAGCGCAGGGAAGCGCTGACGCACATTATGATCCCGATCCGCCCTGACAAGCGCCATGTTTGTTTCGCAACAGACATTCCAATACATCATGCGCAGGCTGCAAGCAATGGTGTCGGAGGTTGTGCCCCGAGAACCACAAAGAGCCTCGTAGATGCCGATTTTTTTGCAATCAAGGATTTCAGCTTCACCAACGATTTGTCAATCCAACTTCACCCGCTGGCATGGGCAGCCTGCCTTCGGGGAGGTGTGTTGGCAGACATGAAATACATCGATGCAGGTGTGAACAGGAAGGGCAATGCCTGTGGGGGAACATGCTTTGCCTTCAAGACAGCGCTAGTGACATCAACGAAGTATTGTTGCTCAAAAAAGTTTCAGGGGATGCAACTGTAGCGTGTGTTGCAATCACGCACGAACCAAAGAAGCAGCAATTGGAGGCAGGTGTCCATGGAAGAGTTCGTGTTGGCGACGGCAAAGAAGGATCGCGGGCTATCAGCCATAGGCCGACGATGAGAAGGACTGCTTGCCGAGTTATTTTTTGTTTGTTTGTTGTTTGATTTGGGGCGTGCTTCAGGGTCAACTTCCAACATGTTTCATTGCTGTGGACAACGTTGCAGGAAGTCGTTGCAAACAAACTTGGCTCGCGGCTCGTCGCTGCGTCCGATTGCCTGGACAAGTTCGCCCGCGTCGACAGCCAGCATTCCACAAACGGGGATTTGTGAATTGTAGATCCAACGGAAATTGCTGAGTTGCGTGGTTTGCTTTTGGGATCACCCCGCAAACTTGGAGTCAATCCGGGGCCTATTTTGAGGCTAGGGACCTAGCTTCTGAACCCACAACCCTTTCGAAGGGAATCCTGCTCAGCGTTTTTCTTAGGGAGTTCACGAACGTCCACAAGCTCCCTAACCCAGGAGGCATTGGACAAGGAATTTGGTGGCCCTTCAAACTTCACCAGTCACAGCAGGACTGGGAAGCAGTGTTGCAGTCATCCACCAACGGCAAGGTCCCAAAGCTGGAGGCCCGTGCATCATGTACTGTATGTGCGCGTTTCTTTTTAAACATCGTTCATGTCGTTTGTCATGTCTGAGTCACTGTTAACACTGTCCTTGCAGTGTTTGCACACGTACACCGCGCTGCCAGGTCAATATCAATCTCTTCTGGACAGACTTGACGCGATCGGTGGTTCGGCTGAACATCTCAACGCACAAGGTCGAGGCGGTGATTGCCCACTTCTGATTCAGGCGCAGCGGGCCCGCCGGGACGAAGATTCACCTTGGCTGTGCCCGGGATATGTTTCCCGAAGAGCAGTCAGGGCACGTGGCGCTTCTTTCCCCCCCGAGTGCATTTGGGCCCCTGTCATTGCTGCAGCACAGCTTCTAGATTCAGGCAAAATGTACGGCGACAATTTGCAGCGGTGGCGGGGGCCAGTGAAACTGAAGAGTGTGGACAACGCAATGAAGCAGCAATGGGCAGCGCTTCAAGCCAGAGACGACTTTGCAACATTGGGGGACACGGCCAAGCTCACCGTCCTGGAGCGCATTCAGGTTGTCGTCCAGACGAAGGCGACGCTAGAGGCCCAGCTTGGCGAGACGCACATTGGGGCGGGCAGGTTGGCCTTGCTTTGGCTGGAGAAGGTGACGCTGGCGAAGGCAGCCACATCGACGCCTGCTTGACCGTCAACGCGAGGCTGCTCAACGACAAGGGCTTGAAGCAGTTCTTGGAGAAGGCTGAAAGCAAGTGGCCAGGCGGCTTGTTTGACAGCGTGCGCAAGCTTGAAGCTGTGGTCCTTTCGGCAAAAAACCTGCTGATGATGTCATGGACCTGCCGTTTGCTGTACAACCTTTGTGCGTGCTGCGACATCATTCCGAAGAGTTTGACCGTACATGCGCTGAGCGGCAAAGGGGAACCTGGCAACAAGGGCTTCGAGGACGTATGTGTTGCCAAGAAGGAGTTGGCCTATGCCTTGGTCAAGAAGGCCACGGTTGTGTGTGTGTGTGTGTGTGTGTGCGTGTCTGTGTTTGCGTGGGTGTGTGGGCAGGGGGAGAAAGAACAAAGTTGGAGACGCGTGTCCATTTTTGTGTTTTGTAGTCACTACTATTTTTATGTTGTGTCTTTTTCTTTCTGGCCAGGCGCGTGATCTCGAGATTGCCCAAGCCGGTGTGAGTCGAACGGAACAATGCGAAAACAACCCAGCGGAGTATCGTGCCGCGGTGGGCGAGGATAATGGAGTCTGAAAGCCGGCAATGTAATTAATAATATTTTTGGAAATTGTGACTGTTTGCAGGTGTCAACCAACATGTTTTCCATCAGTAACACTTTGGAACCAACAACTTACAGTAGCTTAATGTTGTCCAATCTTGGTTGGTTTTTACCAGGCATAGTTATTCTTGAATGAGGTCTGTCAGGCTTGGGTGTTCAAGGTGTCATTACTTACTGCAGTGTCAACCATGCCAAGTTTGGCTCAAGGTATTGATCCAAACTGGCTAGTTCAGTTTTCTGTCTCAGGAATAACCTGAATGGCAGGTACTCATGTTGCCGTGTGGGGCTATGGGGCTCCGTGGTGGAGATTCGCCACGCAGGGACACCAAGGGCTGGATTTCCGGAGGTACCGGTTTTGCGCTGGGCTCCTTGCACATTCTCTTGGTTGGGGACTTGGAGCCGCCGAGGAGTGGTTGTCGAGGCGGCTCACGCTTGGGCGGCGTATCGCACCAGCGATGTGGGCTGCGGCCCCTGGCATCCACGTTGGAGCATGGGCCGGGGCGCCTTTTGGCGAGGCTGACGAAGCCAGGGATGGAGTTACCACTGCCTGAGTTCTTCCGACTTTTCAACGCTTCAAGGAGCCATGGTTTGCCTAGCAATGCTGTCCGGTTTTTGTTGGATGCGGACCTGGAGTATATCCGGGCCCCACCCCTTTGTCCTTGGTGTCTGGTCCCCATCCTCCGGTCTTGCCTGCTGCAACGAGTAACATTTTGCAACCCACTGCCTAACCTGCCTACCTCCTACCTGTCGCCTCCCGCACAGTCAGTCAAAACCCAAACTGTTGGCAAACTCCGCCCTCCAGGTGGGGTTCCTTAGGAAAAGATAGAAGTGACCCCACCCTCTACAAAACGGGCACGCAGGCCCCCTTTCAGAAATCAAGACTGTCGCCATCACTGTGCGGCCTGCCAGTCACTCTGTCTCACTGTTAGCTCAGTCCCTGGGATTCCAAGAAGAAGGCGTCCTTGTCAGGCACTTGTGGAACCACGAGCGCTCCGCCTCCGTCGCAAGCATCGGGTTCACGAGACGCTCCGCCTTTGACGGCATCTGGCTGCGGGCGCCGAGCGGCGCACCAGACGGCCCCTGCGTGGCTGCATAGCCCGTTCAGAAGTCAGGCTTCAAGACAGAACGCCTCCATTCGCGAAGGCTTTGGCTCGAGGCCCATTTCGTGAAATTGTGCCTCGTGGTAAGCTTCCAGTTTCAGCCTGCAGGCTGCCCCAGCCAGGATCCGAGCTGAGTCACTCTCAACTTGGTGGATTCTGGTGAAGGGAGAGCTGCCTCCCAACCGCAGTCGCTGCAGGGAGTGACCCTATCTTGTGACTGTGATGCCAGTGCGCCACGCAAGCGGGATTTGCTGGCGGGTATGGTGTTTGATGGGCTTGCGCCTCTGTGCGGCGCCAGGCGACCCCGCGGGCATCAGGCCGGCCAGTAATTGCCAGCAGCAAGATTAGTTTTAATTAAAGACACGCGGCGACACCGGAAGTGTGATTTCCGTGCGTCACTGCAAGGAAAGCCTGAACAAAAGGCTTGCCCCATGGCCGCCCTTAACTGCGAGCCCTCTTGGCAAAATATCCAATCGCCCAGGCTCAGGGCCCGGCAACTTGGGCGCCGGGTCCCGGCAACCAAGTTCTTCCAACCAACGGTTCCGTAGGGCCACCATGATGGTTTTCAATGAACACGAACGTATCATCCCCCCCGTAACCCCCCTTGACCAGCGCAAATAGAGATCGATGGATACTGATGTATTCCCAAGCAGTCAGAATGACAAGGCGCGGAGACTGATGTCTCTTTTATGGCTGCGCAGCTGTTCTCTGTGAGAACATGGGGTAAGCCACTGCGGACTGCACAAAGCATCAAGCTGTGACATTCACACGCAGCGCAAAGTATGATACAAGGGACTCCTACATTGCTGTAAGGGCCCAATCATGTACAATTCAAGAACCCGGAAGGGCGCCCTGGAAGAACTTGGTTGCGCCCTGGAAGAACTTGGTTGCCGGTGGAAGAACTTGACCCGGCGCCCTGGGGCCCGGCGCCTGCTTGCCGGGACCCCGGCAAGCAGGCGCCGGGTCCCAGCAACCAAGTTCTTCCAGAGCGCCGGGTCCCGGCAACCTGGGCGCCGCGTTTTGGCAGCCAAGTTCTTCCAGAACGCCGAGAGCTAAGAGGCGGGCAAGCCGTACCACGAACCATACCGTGAACCATACCTGCGACTCATATCCCCATTATACCAGCTTCCCGGCAAGGACCCAAACATCGCGCATGTAGCCGAGGCCCCTGGAAGAGCAGAGCAGCGGGCGGTACTGGGTGCTCGCGCGGTCACTGTTTGACTTGTAGCCAGCCTGCGTTAGTCTTGCGCGCGGCTTTGGTCACAGAGGCACGCATTGGCCATGGGGTGGTCTCCTTCTATAGTATCGGGCTAGCACTTAGAATATATTTTACTCCGTCCGATCCTCACTTAGAATATATTTTACTCCGAAAATATCCCAAAACATCAGTTAGAATATTTAGGTTCACAAGTGACACTTAGAATAATTCAGATAGCATACACTTAGAATAATTCAGATAGAATATGTTTTGACAGACAGAATATTTCACAGAATATTTCAGCAAGCTGGGTCACAAGGCAATTTCACACACCAATTGATGGCGTCGAAACGTTTGATTGCCAATACCTCCTTTCAAAGGTCATTTTCCAGACCTCGCAGCCTTTGTATCTGACACAGATTATTCTATTTGTCTGTTCCACTTCCAATGATTTGCACAGGCATGTCAAGATTTGGGATTACTCGAACTGTCTCATTTATTCATATGTTGTCTCGGTACTGTTTGGGGTTGGGTTAAAAGGAAAGGAATGCCACCCCGTGTTGGGACATAGTGGGGTACAATCAAAAACCAAGCAAACACATATTTACTTTCTCTATATATAATATGTATATGTTTATATATTTGCATACGATTGAATGCATGATGAAGGTTTCCTGGCCCAAACACACATATTCTAGCTGTGCCACCCCATGGTGGTCATTTGTATTTTGGGCTCGGTACCGTTTGGGGTTGGGCTAAAGGGAAAGGAAGGCCACGCTTTTGGACCCTCAAAGAATAAACAAAACAATATTTACTATCTCTATATCTTTCATTATGCCTACGATTCATCACCTGATGAAGTTTTGCCAAACACACATATTCTAACTGTGCCACCCCATGGTGTTCATGCATATTTTGGGCTCGGTACCGTTTGGGGTTGGGTCAAAGGGAAAGGAAGGCCACCCCTTGTTGGAGTGTACTGAAGTGCCCTTAAAAATTAAGCCATCCAATGCTTGCTATCTCTCTCTGTTCTGTATATATATTAAAGTGTGGCCTGATGAAGGTTTTCCGGCCCAAAAACACATATTCTATCTGTGCCTCCCCATGGTGTTTATGTATAGCTTCGGCTCGGTATCGTTTGGGGTTGGGCTAAAGGGAAAGGAAGGCCACGCTTTTGGACCCTCAAAGAATAACCAAATCAATATTTACTATCTCTATATCTTTCTTTATGCCTACGATTCATCACCTGATGAAGTTTTGCCAAAAACAAGTACCATGGTGTTCATTTGTATTTTGGGCTCGGTACCGTTTGGGGTTGGGCTAAAGGGAAAGGAAGGCCACGCTTTTGGACCCTCAAAACAATATTTACTATCTCTATATCTTTCATTATGCCTACGATTCATCACCTGATGAAGTTTTGCCAAAAACAAGTATTCTAACTGTGCGCCCCCATGGTGTTCATGCATATTTTGGGCTCGGTGCCGTTTGTGGTTGGGTTAAAGGGAAAGGAAGGCCACCCCTTGTTGGAATATACTGGGGTACCCTCAAAAAATAAGCAATCCAATATTTACTATCTCTATATTTAGTAATTTATGCATACGATGAATCACCTGATGAAGGTTTGCAAAAGCAAATATTCTATGTGCCCCCCCCCCAAAAGGTGTTCATGAATATTTTGGGCTCGGTACCGTTTGAGTCTCTGGAGAATTTGCTGTATATGAAATATTCTATCTGTTTGTGGGAGAGGGGCATGGCCCGTCGGGCTGAGCATTTGAGCTCCGAAAAAAGGAGAAGCCATGCATTCCTCTGGTAAATGCGTGTGTCTTTCTTAGGGGGACCCCTCAAAACGGTTGGTTTCCGTTTGGTTTTGCATATACCCTTGAAAGAGAGACGGACCCAAATGGAAAATCATGGGACCCGCAGCCACATGGTTTACTGAAAGCCGTACATAGAAACATCTAGCAACAGGCTAGCAGCTAGGACATTTATCGCAGAGTAGTTGTTCATAGCAGAAACCCTTATTTTGAAATATTCTATCTGTCTGTGGGAGAGGGGCATGGCCCGTCGGGCTGAGCATTTGAGCTCCGAAAAAATGGAGAAGCCATGCATCATGCATTCCTTTGGCAAATGCGTGTGTCTTTCTTTGAGGGGACCCCTCAAAACGGTTGGTTTCCGTTTGGTTTTGCATATACCCTTGAAAGAGAGACGGACCCAAATGGAAAATCATGGGACCCACATGCTTTGCTGAAAGCCGTATATATATATATATAAACATCTAGCAACGGGCTAGCAGCTAGGACATTTATCGCAGAGTAGTTGTTCATAGCAGAAACCCCTATTTTGAAATATTCTATCTGTTGTTTTCTTATTTTGAAATATTCTATCTGTTGTCTTCTTTTTGGTTGAAATATTCTATCTTCAATTTTTTGTGTATTCTAACTGACTTTTTTCCTATTTATTCTAACTCATTTTTTGATAGACTTTTGAAATGTGCATTTTCATTTACTCTAAAAAATATATTCTAACTGCTAGCCCGATACTATAGCGTATGCTGAAAGGCTAGCAGTCGAGTATGGTTGGCAGCGTTAACCGCAAATTTATCATCACTTTTTTCCTATTCATACACTTTCTATACAACCAGTCGATCCCAACAGCTGCAAATACTTGCGCTTTAACTAAGCCAATGCCAAACTCTCCGGCAACCAGATCCACTCAGCAAAAATCTGCAGATGTGCTTATTAGGGTCTTATTCAAAATTGTGTTCTGAGCGCTTTCTCCCTCACACCAAAGGGTTGCCTTACCCGATAGTTCTTCTCGCATTCTGAACGGTTTTTCTCTCCCTCCAAGAGGTTCCCTTCCGAAGGTCGCTTTCGAAAAACCGGGGTTTTTATTATTATGTTTCTTTTCAAGAAGAATACGAGCGCCTTCCTTTTAACAGTTCTTACTCGGAAAACACAGTTTGAGCACATCTTCTGCTGCAAGTCAAAGAGGGGGCCGTCTATTATTACGGGGAGCGGATGCTTGGGTGCGGGTCTGGGCCAGTGGCACTTCCGTCCGGCGTTCCAGCGTTGCCAACGCCGATGCAAGATGCAAGGGCTAAAAAGATGCAAGATGCAGCGTTGCATTTGCCAGGGGCCCAGGACACTCGACGCCGTTTCCACGCAGGTTCTTCCTTTTCAGCCCTAGCAGGAGTCCCGATGCCTTCTCAAGATTCTTTGGCGGCACCAGGCCCCAAGCAGGCCAGACAAACGAAAACGTTGGTTGGAAACTGCAAGAGGAATGAGCCGCAATTACTGCATTTATCGACCTGGCTGCATTGGAAGGTCTTCGTTTTGCTCTAGCAAGAACCAGTGCTACACGAGTTTTGTTTTTGTTGCTTGGCCCCTTTTCACCTGTGTGCCTCAGCAGTACTTCCTTTTGTAACCTGCCGAACAGTGTGTTGATAATGCTTTACTCGTATAAAGAGGAGATCATCTACATAGATCATGATGTAAACTGGGCAGTCTTTTGACCTGTAAACATTGTTCTCTGTTGTGCAAGGATGTGTGCAATGTGGTCTTGCCATTGTTTTGGTGATGATCTGAAACTGTAAATGGCATTGCCGCATTATGTGTTTGTTGTTTTTCTTCCTTGTAGAACTCATGTTGCGGTCTCATGACCAAGTTGTAGGAGATTGCTGCTGCGTGTGTAGAAACGCAACACTTACATCTCCTGCACAGACCGGCCATTGGTGCACCAATGCCATTGTGAGAAGAACTCTCAGTATGCAAGACAAATGGTGTGCTGGCAAAGAGTATGTCGAGGTCTGTAACGGACTCTGCGTGGCCTTTTGCGGCAACCCGTGCCCGTACTTCATTGCTCTTCTGTTTGAGAACCCGTCTTGATTCAATGGTGTTTGCTCGTTGTTCTGGTGTCCTTATTTACCATCAATCTCTGTAAAGACTTATTGGTCTTTCACATGTTGTACTTCTTTCTTGATCCTCATTTTCCTCTTTGGTTGTTCTGCTGTCGTTGGTCGCTCCACTGTTGTCTTTCTGTAGTGGTGCGCTGTTGCTTGCCTGTACTGCCTTCTGCTGTTTTGTCATGTCTTTCTCTTGTCTGTGATACGCATGATGTGGCCATTGGTGATGTCGGCTCACCTGTCTTTCTCTGCGTTGTTTTTTGATCACTTGCTTGTGACGCGCGCTGTCTTTTGCCTTCGGCTGCGGTGCTTGTTACTGCTTCCTTCTGTGACGGTGTCGCATTGCTTTTAGCTGGCATTGTTAGCGGCGTTGTGAGAGTCGGTATGTCGGTGTAGGTAGTGCTGATGCTGGTGTCTTCCATGGACCTGTGTTTACACAGTCCAGTAGTTGCTGGTCGTGTTTGTGAGGCATTACCTGCCTTCTGGTTGTCATTGCTCTGACAATCTTGTTGTAGATCCCGACAAGGGATTCAGCACCCTTGCCAAGCCAGATCCCATTGTAGAACCTTGGCTCTAGTTTTGGAAATTGTTTGACTGTTGGAAGCATGTACTCACTGTCTCACCAAACTCACAAAGTGGTGTGTGTTGCTCTCTGTGCCGTCTGTTGAAGTAGCTTGTGCATCCATTGCTTTGAACCGCATAGCTGTTCATGATGCATGCGCTGTGCCGAACTATCCAAGGCATGAGTGGACGTTCCATTGCAATGTCTTGGTTGTAGTTCTGCATGATCTGTGCCTTGAGTGTTCTGGTTTGTGCGAACACTGTTCTATGTGCTCGTTCTACTGTGCCTTGTGATTGTGAGCTGTGTGCTCCCGAGTTCCTTGCGGTGTTTGTTGGCCACCGCTGTGATCAGTGTTGTCAGGAAATCTTCCTGATTTTTCACGGATGTAGAAGTCCATGTCCAGCTGCCCCTCTGGTGTTGTGGAATCCTGGTTGCGGGGGGTGTCTCCCTCAATGGTGTTCGCGGGTTGCGCCGAACTACTTGTGGTGTAACTTTATGCGGTGTACTCTTTGGCTGTCTTTGTTGCAAGCTGTTGCTGTAGTGTCTCTGGCAACGCTGTGCCTATCTTAATCCTGAGTGCCGTTTCTCCTTTCCACATTTGCTGTTGTGCTTTGTTTGGAGCGCCCATTGTTTGATACTTGCCATCAAACGTGTTC